GCTGAATTTGTAGAGTAAATAAAGTGTTCTGGAACATCAAGCACAGAATTCTTTGGAGTTTGCATATAGAATCCTTAACTGTATCCTAATCTTTAAATTTAAACCCATTAGAAAGAAAAAAACAAGGCGGGGGCGGGGGAAGCAAAATAAACCTATACAAAGTGGAAAAGTAGACAAAAGACTAGACACTCACTGCAACAGGGCTTTTGTTTTTCTGGTTGGATCTTCTGGTCTGAAGTTTTTGTACATCTCTACTTCATGTTCTATAGAAAGCAGCTGGCTCTGGAGTTTGCTTCTGAAGGCTGGCAGGGTATCCCGAATATGATTGGTAAGTTGCTAAAAAGCAAATAAAAGCCCTTTTATACTCTTAATAAAGATGAAAGCAAGAGCACAACCATTTCCTTCTGACTGCCAAGCATATCAGCCATGACCTGTGCTAGTTTACCAGTGTAGTTCCTTTTGATCTTTGAAGCAATGGAGACTGTTAAAGAACAATATAATATCCCTTCCGCATACACATTATAAGGAGGCTTGAAAAATTCCTTCGTCCTCTCACTCACTGAGCCCTATTACTACATATTCGTTAAGTTACACACGAAAGTTATACACATTACATATTTAATTTGAAATGACCTCTCATCACTCAGCACTGATGCCACCACTCCCATTTTGCTGGTTTTCCTAAGGGAGTTTCCAAATTCCCTGTATACTTGTTCAGCATGACGACTCCTTTTGCTTTACAGCCACAAGGCAATGCAGGACAAGGAAGAGATTCTGAGCATCCACAGCCCATTAAGAACAGAGATGGAAGGAAGTGTAGACATACAGAGTACCTGCTTGGCATTCTCCCACCATCGGGAAAAATCACCTCCACGTGATTTCTGTTCCCTTGTACAAAGTATACTAAAGGAAAGAGATTTTGCCCTCATATTAATAATTATAGAACTTTACCTTTTTTAAAACACTTGATTTTTGGCTGAAAAAGGTTCTACCACTCAGAACTATCAGTTTTCATTTCTGAAAATACACCTAGAAGTATTGGAAAATAAACTGGAGTAGAAAAAGGCTTATCAGATCTGTGTTTAACTTACCTCACTTGCTTTTGCATATATATGTTGTAATGTGTTTGGACAGCACTATCAGTGTCTTACCTGTGCCATAAATTTCTCATGCATTGTACCCATTCCTTGATTTAAATCAAAGTGGACTTCTTGCACTATGCTGCAAACCCTCTTCCCAACCCCAGTCAGACAAGCTATAAGTTAAGAATGTCATGTATCAAAATATGTAAACTCGAATTGTTCAGCAGACCCGACAGGCACAAAATCAAAAGCTGGAGTTTCCCTGGAGCACCACCTTGTGGATGCAGAGAAATTTAAATATTACCTGAAACCACAAATATTAATAGATCCCTAATATCTTAGGGACGAAACTTAAATAGATCTTCCCATATATAATGTTCTACACGCAGTAATAGCAACAGAAGACCAACAGTTCATACTGAAATAGGTAAATTTACGAAACAGCTCACAAAAAAGTTAATAGTACATAAAGTAACGCCAGCCAGGACAGATATGACAGCCCAGAAGTATATGCAGCTCATGCTTCAATCTCAAAACTAAGACATGTGGATTAAACTTCTAAGACATAAAAAGAGGCAAAACATCCTAAACACAGACAACATTGCAGTATACAAGCGAGTTCTAGCACCCTGCTGAAGGCTTTGGTTCTGAGGCACAAATAAATGGCATTGGCACTCTTTTGAATGAGTCCAGAGCATGCTATAACCTGGCTGTCAAGTTACAGCAGAAAAGTCACTGTAGCAAGAAATTAAGCAGGCCAGCCACTTAGTTTCCTACCTTAATCAATAACTTCTCTGGTGTTTCCAGCTGCTTTCCAAAACGGACAAAGCCAGGCTGACCTGGTCTTTGTCTAATACAGACCAAAGGCTGCAATTTGACAGTGAACTGGAGAAAACACTATCAATTTTGACTTGTAGGAATGCCAAGAAGAGTGGTCAGCTGATAAACTGAGTTTCACAAAAAAAAAAAAAACCACAACCTAACAAACAAAAAAACCCCAAACTGCATCACCAGTAATTTTAGAGAGGCAGGCATGACTTGATCTTGTCCTCTTCAAATTTGCTGAGATGCAAGGGTCACGTGCTATTCAAGCTAAGGGCTGGTGCTCTGGAAAGGGCAATACCCAAAAACATAAAGTGAAAAGAATTATATTCTCCTCCAAGTCTGGTGTAGGCAGTGTCTTCGTTAGGACAGTAAGCTATGGGTTTCTCCTGCAGGTAATTGGGAAATAGACCTCTATTGCCTGC